ACTGCCGACTGTGCGGGGCCTGAGGACACGAAAACAACAAAAAAAAATCTTTTTCGTATTTTTCCTATCTGTGATAATATATAAAATAAACTGGTTTACCTGGATCATCTGTGGTCTCAGCCAAATCAGTGTCTCCCTCCTTCTCAGACACAATTCCACACAAACTTGTGTCCCCGAGTATTGACGCCATCCTATTTTCAAACGGTGTCAGCTCGGGGACGCCCTTACCCCCCACCTGTGGCTGCAGTGCTTTGACGGTGGCCAGTCAGACGTCTTTTCGCATCCACCCTCAAATCGGACCACTTATTCTTTACCTCCGTCATGGTGCTCTCTGTCTCACTCACTGAATTCACAGAGGTCACAACGTGTTCCCACTCGCTGTGCTTCCTTTTATTTGTAATACCACTACTGCGGCTCCCAAAAAGAACATTTCTTCTGTTCTCCACCTCACTCACAAGTACATCTATTTCTGCGTTGGAAAAATTTTGCTTCTTTGCTTTTTTCCCCGTGATTGCCATTGTAATCATGAGTTGACATGGATCAGCTGACTGATTTAAATACATATTAACATTCATGAGATACTTTGCATTGACCGTTTATGGTTGAATGTGGGCGTGGAGAGGGGAGAACCTGAGGCGGGACCTTGTGCACAAATTACGAGGCACAGCTGTGATCTATAAAGGGAAAATGTGGTGAAACATGCGTACGCACGGTTTTATAAATCTGAATTTTTTTTGGCGTACACCATTTCCGCCTTTTGGCCGTACGTTCACTTTTAGTGTGGTTTCCACGCAATCCTTTATAAATGAGACCTTCGGTGAGTATTCTTTAGGTCAAGTGGAAGGGGTTCTCAAACATTTTGGGTCTGGGGACCCCATTCAAGAGGGAAAAATTCCAGGGACCTCCCCCCCAATAAAACCCATTCTTTTTTTAAAAAATAACTTACTGTCATTTTAATCCCTGAATTCCCTGGGAATAGAAGAGAGGATTCATTTGCAGCTGGGGCTGCTGTGTGAGGCCTCAGACTGGTAGAAGTAGCTGTGAGTACTTATTCATTTATTTCTTAAAACCAACAAAGACCATTAAAAACATCAAAGTAAATCAATTATTGAATAATAAAGGTGCAAAAAGAAGAATAAAAATATTGTATATCTGCTCCTGTTAAAAAAAACAACTTCCTCAAAGCACTAACATCATGTGAGTTCTTTGTTATAAATTTTGACCTGCAGCCGTGCTTTAAAAATAGCCAGGTTATCCCTTTATTTAACATGGCTCTGACACTGATCCAGCTGTTTGCAGGTGATGTGATGCACATGCAGTGTATCCTCGTGAGAACAGAGGTTTTTTTAAACTATGATAAAAACAATTTGTTTGCATAACAGATGGAAAAAGGATCAATCTGAGCTGCAGGGCTGCCAATTTAAAAGAAACCTGAGAGTGGGATGGGGGTGGTGGTGGTGGGCAGCTCAGTTGAAGGTTTGGTGGTGTAGGATAGTTTCACCTGTTCCTGCACCCTGTTGGCTACATCCTACACTAGAAAATGACTGTAATGACTACTTTATAGACCTGTCAGATTTAAAGGTTAAATATGTCAGGATTAAACACCTTCTTAATCAGATGTTATGTTTAGAGTAACTGTTGGATTCTATGAAAAGCATTTTACGACTTATATTCAGTTAAAAAATGTCACAAGGTAAGTCAGATATTTTCCACTCAAGGTCAGAAGAGGCTGAGGTTTAAATTGAGCCTGAGAGCTTGGTTTGGAGGCCTTTAATCTGATCGCTCCACGGATGCAAGTGGAACAATAATTATAACATGAATACCTGATTTTTAACACGATTACTTGATTTTCAGTTTAAAAACACTGTTTTTCTATAATCAAAACCAATGTGTGTGTGTGTGTGTGTGTGTGTGTAGCCTGTGTGTTCACTGATACAAATAAAAACACAAATCAGTTTATAAAAGCTTATTAAAGAAGCAGCTTTTCAAAAAAAATCATTGCAAATGTTAAACAAAAACCAACCTCCAAGGTTCCGGCCCTGTTGTTTGTGGGTTCTGCTCCCTCTCCTCCTCATCCTCATTTTCCTTCTCTACTCTTACATCTCCTCCTACTCTCCCTCCTCATCTGTTCCTTCCTCCTCTTCTTYACTTYCATGACTAAAATCAAACTCCAAGACTGACTCTGGTCTTTTCAGCTGCTTATATCGATAACAACAATCATAGTTATAGCACCTTTGCAAAGAAATCAGTGTTATAATACAAATATCTAACAAAAGCTTTACACAAACACAGTTTGTTGGGATTTGTATCTTGTCTGTTGTCTCCCTCTTGTGTCCTCCCTGCATCAYCACTCATCATCTCTCAGTCTGTTTTCTGCTGTTTTACCTGTTTAATTATCTCTCACATGTCAGTAGTTTCCAATTAGTGTTCCTCAGCTGTCGTTCATCTTCTCTCTTCATCTGTGTGCTTAAATATTCTTCTCTTCTGTTCATCATTTTGATAATATTACAACTGTAATGCAAACCTCTCTTGATGAAATTGCTCCACTGTCATGGAAATCTTTATATACCCAAGATAAAAACACGTGATCCAAGACTAAAAAGTACTCCGTGAAATGGTCAATCAGGATTTATTGCAATTGCAA